CCAGTGAACGGAGACTGTATCCCCCAAGGTATCAGTGCCTGAGACGCACGAGGTGGGGGCTGGGGGTGGTGGTGGTGATGGGAACCGAAGGGCTAGAAAGGATGTCTTGAGCAATAGACAAGGCCCCTGAAGATGGATTTCTGTACAGTTTGGAGACCCCAGCCGTATAGGAGGAGTAGGGCCAAATTCGTAAGGCAAGAACATGTGTAAGAACCTGTCACCCGATGTCCCTGCCTCCAAGCCAGCTTTGGCCTGCAAAGTCTAGGTTCACCCACTAACCAAATCCCTTATTGCATGACTAAAAACTACCTTTTCCCCATCTCGACCTATTCTCCTTGTTCTCCTTAATTCTCCCGAGTCTTTCCCCTCCCCCACCCCTAATGCTGTGCTCACTAGAAAACTGTGTAGGTCTGGGGGAATTGAGGCAGCCACAGACATCTAGAACTATTAGGGAGGGAAAAAAAGACCCTGGAAATCCCCAAAAACGATTGTCAATATTTAGCCTACCTCTAATTCCCCCTCCTTCCAAGGAGCAAAGCCAGACAGGGCTCACTGGACAGCTCCCAGCTGACACCAGTAGGTCTAGTCTCCTGTGCCCTCCCTCCATGGTTACTGGGTACCCCCTTCCCAGCGCTGAGTACCCAGACCTCCGAAAGCACAACAACTGCATGGCCAGTCACCTGACCCCAGCAGTCTATGCACGGCTCTGCGACAAGACCACACCCACTGGTTGGACTCTAGATCAGTGCATCCAGACTGGCGTGGACAACCCTGGCCACCCCTTCATCAAGACTGTGGGCATGGTGGCTGGAGATGAGGAGTCCTACGAGGTAGGGGGCCCCCAGAATCTCCCTGGTGACCCAAGCCACCTTCCCGGAAATCCCAGTTCCTTCCCCCTGGAGATCCCTCGTGTCTGTTCCCTGAAGACTCTGGACTGTCTGTACTCACATTTCTGACCCAGTGAAATCGATCTACAGTTGAATCCCAGGAAGGAGTTCCTCTTTATAACCACCTCTCCCTCTTCACTCCCTACCAGGTATTTGCTGAACTCTTTGACCCTGTGATCCAGGAGAGACACAACGGATATGACCCCCGAACAATGAAGCACACCACTGACCTTGATGCCAGTAAAGTGAGCCAACTCTGACACCTGCGATTTGTGTGGCCTGTGCACAGTGTTCTGTATCGCTAATCGTTACACCATGCTTCCTGACTCACGGTTATACTGCTAAGCTTTCAATAGTGATAAGAGAAAGAAGTAGCTATCTTGGAGACTAGCAGATATGAAGACAGCGGATAAGAGGGACTGTGTCAGGATAATGGGGTTGGGGAGAATATGATCAAAGTACACTTCGTGTATGAAATTGTGAAAGAATATTCTTTAAAAAGTGACGATGCCTTGGCTGGGTGTGGTGGCTCACACCTGTAATCTCAGTCCTCGGGAGGCTCAGGAGAGACCCCCCCCCCAAAAAAGGCTGTAACCAAAGTGGGAAGTTTGGAGAAATGGTCACAATGTCCTCTTCAGTTGCCTGTCCAGTGTGTCCTCCCTTTCAGTGCATGCATTATAGTCCCTAAGAGCTTCCACCTGTTGTGTGACTGTGACTTCTCTGTTTCTCTGACTCCTCAGATCCGTTCCGGCTACTTTGACGAGAGGTATGTATTGTCCTCAAGAGTCAGAACTGGCCGAAGCATCAGGGGACTCAGTCTGCCTCCAGCCTGCACGCGGGCAGAGCGACGAGAGGTAGAACGTGTGGTGGTGGACGCACTGAGCGGCCTGAAGGGTGACCTGGCTGGACGATACTATCGGCTCAGTGAGATGACGGAGGCTGAGCAGCAACAGCTTATAGACGTGAGGGGCCCTGAGAGGGAACTGGGTTATGGGAGCAGTTGCTGGGAAAGGGTCAGAGGGGAGGCTGGGCCAGATAAAATAGACGGATTTTGAGAGGCCCAGACAATACTGTGATAATTCTTAAGTCTAATCCCTTTATTCTCCTCAGGACCATTTTCTGTTTGATAAGCCTGTGTCCCCATTGTTGACCGCAGCAGGAATGGCTCGAGACTGGCCAGATGCCCGGGGAATCTGGTATGAGGCAGATCCACCTTTTTTGTTTCTCTTGTGTATGTGAGATACACACACATGTGTGCACACGCGTGTGTGCGCAAACACACACACACATACTTGTCCCCCAGTTCTTGTCTTGATCCCTTTACCTCCTGCCCCCAGGCACAACAATGAGAAGAGTTTCTTGATCTGGGTGAACGAGGAGGACCACACACGGGTCATCTCTATGGAGAAAGGAGGCAACATGAAGAGAGTGTTTGAAAGATTCTGCCGGGGCCTCAAAGAGGTTGGAGAAGGGTGTGCAAGGGAGCTAAGTGGGAGGAAATGAGAAAAACCCAACAGCAGCATAGGCAGATTAGCTATATCATTTGTCAACCAACCCAGGATATTTCTGATAGTAGAAAAGGTTGATCATTAACCACGGGAGGACAATAGTTACAAATAGGGCCATCCTTGAAAACCAGGGCGGATAATACTCTTGAAATAGGAAGAATGTCAGTCACCTAAGGAAGGAAATAAAGCATAATCTTTGCCAAGTCATGCAAAGAAGGAACCAATGATATGACAAACCGGTGCTGGGGCGGGTGGTGTGAGGTAGGATGTGCAGCTAAGGAGAACATTTGAGCCTGGGTTGATGTAGCGGGTGAGAGATTGGTATGTTTATGACACATCACGCAGTTCTGAGCCAAGGTGGGCCTCGACTCTGGATTCTGTCTATCATTGTAGCTCGGCTTTGAGCTGAGAAGGGGAGAGAGACTAGGGAAAGTGGAGGCTGAAATGGCTTCTGTTCTACAATGTATGGTTCTAGATGAGAGGTGAGTTTATGTCTTATATGGGTTGGGTCTCTATATTTCTGTGTTAGAAGCTGCCATAGATCTAATCCTCATATATTCTTGTATCTACAGTTCTATTTTTGGACTTGTAAAGAAAGAGAGCTTCCCTTTTAGATTCTAGCTGGGAAGCTTATACTATTTTTGGCAAGGGATGGATAATGTTTTATGAGTGGGTAGAGAAATACTCTTTAATTATATGACTCAGTTTCCTCATCTATAAAGTTGAGATAATAAGATTGCTTATATTTTAGGTTGTGAGAATGAAATGACATAATGCAGGCAAAATAATTGTCCTGCAATAAGTGTTAGCTTCAGCATGTTTAGCTTCAGGCTTATGATTCCTTCTGAGCTATAGGGTGTCATCTTTACTTATCCCTGGGTAGTGGTCTTTGTATCTATCCCGGAAGACCCCAGTCCCTTCAATTCTAATGGTGGTTAGGCTGGTCAAGAAAAACAGGGACCCCTCTTGTACCCCGTCATTTTCACACATGTACCTCTGGATCTGGCTTCTTTGTTCTACTTTTTTTTCTTTTTTCTTTTCTTTTTTTCTTTTTTTTTTCTTTTTTTTTTTTGGTTTTTCTAGACAGGGTTTCTCTGTGGTTTTGGAGCCTGTCCTAGAACTAGCTCTTGTAGACCAGGCTGGTCTCGAACTCACAGAGATCCGCCTGCCTCTGCCTCCCAAGTGCTGGGATTAAAGGCGTTTGTTCTACTTTCTTGTTTCTCTATTATACGTGCTCCTTCTCCAGCTAAGAGTAGGCTCTCCTGCCTCTCTTATCATCCCCTTTCTGTCCGAAGGGACCCTCTGCTCTTTGTTAAAGAGATAATTGATGTAAGAAGAACTCGTGAAACAATCAGCCATTTCTGTTCTGTCTACCACTTTCGTTCATTTCATAGGTCACCCTTAATGTATTCATTGTTCCCTCAAGTTTCTTCCACAATCTATTCATCCACAATCTTACCAGTATGCATATAATGCAATATCAAAGTTACCTTTCATGTGTGATGACAATGATTTTTAACAACAAAGAGCATGTCATTCATCCATCCTCGAGCTTCTTGTTGGAGACATATTTCTAGAGTGTTTGTAGGGCTAACTAAGAGGGGTATGTCTGTCCCTGATTTTCTCACAACAGAACCTCTGTTGGCACAGGTGGAGAGGCTGATCCAGGAACGAGGCTGGGAGTTCATGTGGAATGAACGTTTGGGATACATCCTGACCTGTCCATCTAACCTGGGCACTGGACTTCGGGCAGGAGTGCACATCAAACTGCCCCTGCTAAGCAAAGTAAAGGAAATGTGGGGTTAGAGAGGGGTGTAGGTGAGAAGTGGGGTTTGATGAGGAGGGAGGAGGCACTCTGGAAGGAGCCAGTTATATCATATCATATCATGGCTAAAGGACAAGGGCAAGGTAGGAACAGCCCCTGCCTCTATTGACCTGCCCGTGATTTCTATCTTGCCTATAGGATAACCGTTTCCCAAAGATCTTGGAGAACTTAAGACTCCAAAAGCGCGGAACAGGAGGCGTGGATACTGCTGCCACAGGCAGTGTCTTTGACATCTCTAATCTGGACCGACTTGGCAAGTCAGAGGTGAGGTCTTATGAATTAGGTTGAGGAATTGCGATGAGACAGTGAGTGAGCCTTAGGAATGTAATAAAATCTGAAATAAAGTCCAGGTTGAGTGGGGGAGGGGAGAGAAAAAAATGCGTTTTCAGAGATACAAGATCAGAAAGAGAAAGAAAGAAACTAAGAAAGAAACTCAGGCCAGGCAAGGTGGCTCAGGCTTTTAAGACCAGCAGAGGCAGGGAGATCGCCTGAGAATCCCAGGCCAGCCTGGTCTCCACAGCAAGTTCCAGGCCAGCCAGGGTTACATAGCGAGATCCTGTCTGTAAATAAATAAAAAGAAGAGACAAAGAAGCTCACATAGATTACGGGACATAGAGATCAAGGAAGAGTGTCCTGCAGGTGGAGCTGGTGCAGCTGGTCATCGACGGAGTGAACTATTTGATTGACTGTGAACGGCGTCTGGAGAGAGGACAGGATATTCGGATCCCCGCACCTCTTGTCCATGGCAAACATTAACTCCCCATCCCCAGCAAACAAAATAAGCATATTTAATGGTGGCCTGTTCTACTTGCCCCTCACTCCCTGTCCTAGTAAAGATTCCATATTATGTCCCAGCTGTCTGTGTTCTTTCTGTTGGGGTGGTGAGGAGGAAGCAGGAAGTGAAAACAAAGAGTGGGGCCATTCATGTTGGCAGGAGCCACATATGCCGGAGCACTGCTTCTCAGTTGGGCAGTGGAGCGCATCACCCACGTCCCTCCTGAGAAGAATTAGAACACACTGCCATTCACAATATGTTCAGTATGGTGCAAGCTTTCTCCCTCAACTGAAGGAACAGTATCATAACAGGAAGCCAACAAAGCTGAGGGTCAGTGCCAGGGCCCAGGAGGATTGGAACCAGTCATAGAGGCCCCAGGCTGAGCTTCGACCTGTAACGAGACAAGGAATGGGAAGAATATCACGGTCTGTTCCCCAGGAGCCTTTGATGCTGCAGAACGAGCTCTCTGTGTATAGAGCCCTCTACTCCAGAGACTGTCTTATGTGGGCAGAGGGCCAGACAAGTTAGGACTTGGACTTTGGGTCAGATGACAGCTTCTCACACTGGGCAGTCGGTCACTTACCCCATTGTTCCAGGATCTCCTTCCCTTCGTGCTGGGCCCATGCAATTGCTTGTCGCTGTTCAGGACTCAGATAGGCCATTTGCTCAGGTGTGACAGCTACAGCCTGGACACTAGTGAGACTAGACAGCTGGGTGGGGTTGAATACCACCTAGACAGAGGCAAGGACAGGAGTCAGTACATCCATGGAACCCCGTTGGGACCCAACTCTCCCTCTGAGAACTCTAGGTCCCAGTCCACCAAAACTTACTGCAAACTTGGGAGCAGGGATGACAGAAATGGCAAGAGGAGTCAGGCCCTGGATCTGGTCCCGCAGTAATGCTGAAAGAGCCAGGTCCGGGATGCCAGCTGGTGAAGGAAGCAGAACACATCTCACTATCACAATCCACCCACGATGTAGTAACGAAACCCTGGCCACTCGTGACAATCAGTGGCCCAGCTTCCCCACCTGCTATTGTGCCAATTTCAGTGAAGATCTCAGGTCCCCAGTTACTGACTGGGCCAAAGCCGCCAGGCAGCACAAGGAGATAGGCAAGAACTTCTAGCTGTTCCTCAGAGCATGGGAGATGCAGGTTGCCCAGGAAGAGAGCTGCTTGGCTGTGGAACAGTCAGAAGAAAGGGAGGAGAATTCAGCTTCGATGATGGAGGAAGAGATGAATTCAAAGGGACTTCCTTCCTTCACGGGCCCACCCATTTGTGAGCCCATCTCCACCACAGCACGGCCACCCCAGACCTTCCATAGGTAACCTAAACTCCCAGCTGCTGATGTGCTGTAACTCCTCTGGCCGCAGGCCGCAGAGTGTGTGGCCCAGCGCTGTCAGATAAATGAAGTCCAGGTGGCTCACACGCCGACCACTCTGCCGCAGGAAACTGGAGACCACGGCACGGAGCTGGTAGGGCACAAGATAAAGAGATAAATCATGGGGAATTAATGGATGGGAAAATGACGAAGGGAGTGGAAGGGCTCCTGGACTATATTGACTTGTTCTAACCATCAGAAGATCCTATAGCAGTGAAGGAAAATCAAGGTAACATTCTTGCCCTCCCTCACAAAGATACTAAGAGGAGAAAGGGGCTAACGGATACAATGTATCCAGGACCTCAGAGAACAAATCACAGAGCTCCTAAAGTCACTAATATAGAGCATTAAGAAAGAGAAAGCTGAATGTGGTGACACACTTGCAATCCCAGAATCTGGGAGACAGAGGCAGGAGGATCAGAAGCTCAAGGCTATCCTCAGCTCTGGAAGAGGGTCAAGACCAGGGTGGGCTACATAAGAAGACCCTGTCTACAAAAAACAAAACAACCGAAATCAAGAAAAGATAGAAAGAATGGTCTGAAAGTATCTCAGGAGAAAATCCCTTGGGCTTTTGCTAACTTAGAGGACTAGGTCTACAGGATGGATGTCTGGGGCAAGGCGAAGAAGGTGTTACCTGGACAGAGCTCCAGCCATCTATTTGCCCCAGACTGCTGAGCACACCCCAGTCCACCAGCGTAAGCTCTTGCAGTTCCCGCTCTCCCAGACCTCTCAGGAGCTGGCCCAGCTGCAAGATCTGCTCAGGACGGAATCCCCGAGGAGTGCCCCACAACTAGGAGGAAGACAGGGGCGATGTGAGTAGAAAAAGCACCGGACTGGGAGTCAAACACAGGATCTTGGACTTTAGCTGCGGGACACCGGTCCGATCACACTCATCTTGTTCTCAGTTTCCACAACAGAGAAATGAGAGTTTCTCTAGTTTAGGGGTTACTGAAAGGCTGGATTCTCCATTCTAGTTGAGAACAAGCTCTAGGCCACGAATTCTAAACTCTATACGTACAAGACCCCTTGAGGTACCTGCTAAAGTGCAGATCCCAGATCCAAACTCCTGAGATTCTTAGTCCAGCATGGGACCCAGCAATTGCCTTTTAAGAACCTGCTCCTTGGGCACTTTTGATAGACATTCAGTTAGGCCCTCTATCTATATTGTACTACTCTTTCTTCAGTATTGACCCCCTGACCTTCCACTTAGAATCCAAACCTCTCGCTTTCACCTACTGCTTCCCCACCTCTTACCCGAGTCTTCACCCCCTTTTGTCTCATATCACACTCAACTTCCTCATGTTTTTAATCCCTCTGGCCCTATTAGCCTCTCCTTCCCTAACCTGCTTGGCCTTGCCCATGGCTGCCTGCAGTTCCTCGGGACCAAGTCCTGGATCTCCAGCAAACAGTGACAGACAGTCCTCAAAGTCTGCGAGTTCCATCTCTGCGATCTGTGTGGCAGACCAGGCTGCTGGGAAGGTGCCCCGTATGTCTGCACAGCTTGGTACGGGTTCTGAAGGCAGAAGGCAGAGACCAAGGGTCAGTCTAATACTAAATGATGCCTCCAGTGATACCTGCAGATTGTTTAGCCTTTGGAGGACAGAGCAGTGTGGGCAGCGTGGGTTAGGGAACGATGACAGTGAGAAATACAGGGCTCAAGGGGCATTTGAACAGAAGCGACTGGCTATCACGAGGCCATCCTTTGTTAAGTGGAAGACAGGGGAGATTGCTCAGGTGTTTAATGAGAGCTGAATTAGAACCCAGGTCTCTAGCCTCATGATGTCTCCTTCTGTCTAGGGATTTCCCAACAGACAGCGCCACACTTTGCCGGTCAGAGGGAACAAGAAAAATTGTTTTGTTTTGAGACAGTGTCTCCTGTAGCCCAGGTTGGTCTTAAAATCTGCTACGTAGTTAAGGCTGACCTTGAATTCCTGATCATCCTGACTCCACTCCCAAGGGTTTGGGTAACAGGTGTGTATACCACCACACCCGACTTTAAACATTTAATGGGTTATAAACTCCCAGGATTATAGACCCTGACAACTAGAAGAGACCTTGAATATCATCTTCTAACCCTTGTGCTTTACTGATGATCAAAACTCAGGGAGCAGGAAAACAGCTCGGAAGGTCCAGCACACCTAGAACCCAGCCTCCCACCCCACTGCGGTGTCCGTGAGGGAACCCAGGGCCTTGTACATGGCAGCCGAAGCTCAGCCACCCACAGTCACCCATCCAGGCTTCCAGTTGCATTGTTTGCCTTGCCGCCTTCTCCCACACGCCCTGCTGGAGGACTTGGGAGCTTCACCTTGGAGACCCTCGGCAGCCGGCTGCACAAGTCCAGCTACTAGAGCTGCTTTCTTGTGGGTAAGCTGGGGTCCCCCACACAGATGACCCACTCTGCTCTGCTCCCAGCTCTGCTGCTTTTCCAGAAGCCGCTCCAGGGTCTCTGGGCCCAAAGCCTCCTGCAAGAGAGAGTAGGGGGAAGGAAAGGCAATCTGGCAGTCAGGGCCAGGAGCTATAGTTTCAAGATCTTGCAGCAGGGCTTGGGGCTCAGGACTGGAGGTGCTGAAGCAGGTATGCCAGGAATTTTAAGCCCACCTGGGCTACAGACTGAGTTCAGGCCTGCCTGACTGTCTCAGAAAACCAAACAAACAAGCAAAAAAACCCAAACAAACAAAATGGAAAACAAAAGCTATAAACAAGTCCTGCCTTTGTTCAGCAGCCTCCCTCCCCAGGCACAGACTGCCCTTCCTTTGTCCTCTATGACCTAGGTCTCGAGAGCCACCCCTCAGTCTCCTTGTTCCTTCACCTCACCCTGGGGATCAAAGAAATAGCCTCAGGAGACAGGGTGAATACGAGGCGTCCAGCTTGCTCTACTTCGTCCCGGCTCCACAACTCTGGCTTTCTGGGGGGACAGATGGGACAACATGGAGCTGAGTGAACTGGGAGAAAAGATTGGGGACTCAGGGTACCTTCAAGCATATGGGATGGGATGCCACCCTGGCTGATGGTCAAGGGCCTGGGTATAGGATGCTACCAAAGGGCCATACCCAAGAACAGGCTCCTGCAACAGCAACCTTCCCAGTTCTGTGGTAAATGTCTCTCCTAGGCAGAAGCCCTGCAGCTGACTGAGCTGGGACAGTAGAATTGGTAAAGGGATCCGTCGTGTGCTCTCTATTCCCAGGAATCCAACCAAGGGGCCCAGTGTATCCAGCACTTCTTCTGAGATCGGGGTCTCCTTTGGAGCCTGGAGAGAGGCATCACGCCTTGGACAATGCACCGGACCCACAGCATCAGACACTTTGAACAGGGCACCAAATCCCTTGACGCCCCCCCTCCCCTCCTATGTGCAACTCAGCAGCCATGAAGGCTCTTATTCACTGCTTTACAAACCCGAGTGAGCTCAGCCAGAAGCAGAGAGAAAGACCAAGAGGCAGAATTCAAAGGATTTCTTAGACTCCAAGGAACACGAGCACGAAACATGAAGGAAGTTGATCAAAAACTCAAGAGGCAGATCTAGAAGCCAAGGCCAGTGGGTAGGTTAGCAGTCTAGGGCTTGGGCCTAGGAGTGAAAGAGCTCTGAAGAGGGGCACAGCAGATCTGAGTCTGAAGGGGTGAGCTCTTACCAGGACATTTAGGGCCCGCTCTGCCAAGGCTGCCCTGTGGAGTGGGGTCAGGGCCAGCAGCTGCTCCGGGGCACCTTGGACCAACTCGACCACCAACATAATGGAATCACCGGACAATCTGTCCATCAGCTGGATCCTATTATTGAAATTCGACAGTGATGACACTCAAGTGGAAGGGAGCTGAGCTGAGGAGGGATCGACAAGCCCCAAGTTCCTAAAATCAGATCTCAACTGTGACTCTACGCTGACGTTCAGCAGTCCTGAGCGGGTTCCCACCAGGCTCGGGAAGGAAGAGCTCAAGGGTGGTGGTTATCTCTAACTAGCTGTTGAAACAATCCCACCTGATCTGACGAACTCAAAAGCCCCAGGTATTAAACACTGTTCAAATCTCTTAGCATTCCAGGAACTCCGGTTTTCTGACTCATGGTCCAAGATCTTCTACCTGTACATAGTTACATACATTTAAATGGCCTTTAAAAGGAATAAAACAGAAATCAGAAGTGGTACCTGTGCTCTCTATATAGAAAAAGGCCAAGTGTATGAGAACCAAAATCTACAAGAAATCTTGCAAACATGTATGGGCAATTAGCTACTTTCGCCATCCTCACATCTTCAGGAAGTCTTTAACTCCAGCCTTTCCCGCCTCTTACTTGCAGCTCAGATGGCAAGGGGCTGGGAAAATGAGAAAGGTACTCATGAACTAGAGACCGGAGAGATGGCTCAGTGGCTAAGAACACTGACTGCTCTTCCAGAGGATCAGGGTTTGATTCCCAGCTCAGAATCATCTAGAACTCCTATTCCAGGAGACCCGACACTGTCTTCTGGTCTCTGTAGGTAGCAGGATGTACTTGGTGTGTAGAAATATATGCAGCAAAATAACCATACACATAAAATAAAATAATAAATTATTAAAGATCTAAAAAAAAAAGGTTGAGTCTGGTGCCACATGCCTTTAAGCCAGAGGCAAGTGGATCTCTAGGAGTTCCAGGCCAGCCTGGTCTACACAATGAGTTCCAGGCCAGTGAGACCCTTTTAAAAAGATACTCATAAACCAGAATCTCAGGGATGGGGGAGCCTCTCACTAGCCTTCTCTCCCCCAGTTCATACTCGAATCCCCTTTCTAACATTCCGACCATAAGCTTAGGTTTGGATAGCACAAACTGATCAGGAGCTCACTACTTCAATTGTATTACATTGTGCAAAAAACTCTAAACTTTTATCTTGTTAATCCTAGTCTTGCCCCCGTGGAACCACTCACAAATAAACCTATACATCTCTATTTGATAGCTTCTCAGGATCTTGGAGGCTTTTTAAGACCCTTCATCCCCTGCCCCCATTCACTCCTCTGAACACACTGAAAACACAGTGTGCTAATCAGATTACAATCCTCTAGGGCATAAATAGACCATTTCCAGGCAGTGGTGGGGCACACCCTTAATCCCAGCACGTGGGAGGCAGAGACAGGCAGATCTTTGTGAGTTCAAGGCCAGCCTGGTCTACAGAGCGAGTTCCAAGAAAGCCAGAGCTACACAGAGAAACTCTGTCTTGAAAAACAAAAAACAAACAAACTAAAAAGATCATTTCCTCCTTCATTTCAGTTACTGCACATCTACACATCCATTAATGTAGCCTAGATTTTTCCTAAGTTCACCTGATGACCACAACACGTAATTGCCAGCCTGTGTCAGGGCCGTTCTTGGGAGTGGATGGATATGTAAAAGATCTTTGAGAGATTCCTGTTTGGGACTGTAGGGCTACCTCTTCTGGGTATTTCCCAAGAAGGAGCGTCTACTCAAAGGTGAGCATCCTGCGGCCCCCATATCTCCAGGCAGCCACTTACGGTAAGTCCAGGAGTAGCTTTGTGTCGAGCTCATTCAGTTCTGGCCCCAGGGGAGTCAGCTCTGGCTCTGGCATTGTCATCCTCCGCTGTAGCTCTGCCCAGATACAGGCCCGCTGGGAGGTATTGAGCAGAGAAGGCAGGGTGAAGACAGAGCTGGGCATGGAGCCTGGGATTCTGAGCCCAGGGTCCACGCTTCCCACTAAAGCCTCCCTCTCACCAGGCTCCCTCGAACACCGGTGGGCAGTTGGTAGAGCATGTGCACCACGGCGAGGAAATCAACCAGTGAGCTGATCTGCTGCAGAAAGTCACAGGACATGCCCCCTGCCAGGTTGCCCAGAGCCCTGCAGGCATTGAGTGGGAAGATGCTCTTTAACACTTGTAATAGCCTGCCTGATCCTTAATATCAGCACTCTCCACACAGAGACTGTTCTCATTGATAGTCATCTACAGCTTGTGAAATGTTTGTACATAGATAACATCGTTGGCTTCCCATAACATCATCGCTGTTTAGCAGCGAGAAAACAAAGATCTACAAAGGTCAAGGGATATTCTTAACATCGGTCTGCTGGAAGTTGAGACTAGAGCTGTCTTCGGATTCCAAAGCCCCTGCTTCTCTTACTGTAGGTGTAAGTAAAGTGATACTACTTCTTTCTCTAGTGGCTCTAAAGTCACCTTGAATTAAATTAGGAACAGCAAATGTCTATTAGGAGTTTCTACTGAGCCAGGTACCATGTGAAGGATAGTATGTGCCTTGATTTCATCCAGTTTTCACAATAACTTTATTTTAATTCTCATTATATAAGAGGAAAAAATCTGAAGCTTAGATTTAGAGATTTGACTCTTGGTAGCAAGGATGTGATACAAGCCCAAGTTTTCTGAGTCCCACAGCAATAACTGGATATCTGTGGCACCGGGGAAGGGAAGGAGGAAAGCAAGGGGAGGGAAGAAAACCCAAATGCTGGCTAGGCTGGAATAATAGCCCATTTAGTGAGCACTTAATAACAACAACAATAATAAAACCAACTGAATTGAACTGACTAAGCCCAAGCTACTCACTGCAGATTCCTGAGGGTCAGGTTGGTAGGCACCTGCATCTTCTTCCAGAGAAACTGTGCCTATAGACAGACAAAGAGGGAACAGTTCCCAACAGAGGTACAGTCCTAAGGACCTCAGAGGTGAGCATGAGGCCTTATTTCTTCACTTTGTGATTCCTACCAGTCCCCTTTCCCCAGAGTCCTACTGGGGGAGGGGGGGAAGGGGGAGGGAGAGAGCGCAGTGATACGGGATAAGTTATCAGAGCAAGGGCTGAGTAAACGAAGTAGAAAAAGCATAGAGGGTGTTCCCATGGCAGAAGAAAGAGTTACCTGCTGCTCAGACCAAGGCAGCTGCCGATAGCGCCTTCGGTTCGCCAGAAGAGCCGCAGTGTCCAGCTGTAGAAGCTTTAGTGGGAGCAGGGGAAGCAGGCAGTCTGGCCAAGTGGTGGGGCTGGGCTGCTGGCAGTGATGGGTACAGCAGTGCAGTGATAGGTGGGAGGTTCTGCACTGGCCCTCAGAGAAGGGCAGAAAGGGATCAAAGCCAGGATGGGGAGGATGGCATTTGCCCTTGCAGCAGTGAGCACTTAGGAGCCCTCACGCCTCAGGCTGTTGGGGTTGTGTTGAGCTAGTTAAACACCTGATGAATGGAAGTACCCGAGCTTTTCTCAGCCTCATTCTTTTTGTCTGAAAGCAGGAGGCTGGCCTGGAGGATCTCGGGCCTTCTGGCTTTGACAGTGTGGGATAATGGGAGCAATAATGTTCTGCATCTAGACTGGGATGCTGTTCAGATCTAGGTGGGCACAGAGGTCACTGAACTCTCAGAGCTTCTGTAGGGGGAGTTTGTGAGGCAACACCAGCCCGATGAAGCCACCCACAAGATGGAGAGGTGCTCAGTCTGGGGGTCCCGCACGTACCTGACCAGGAATGCACACGGTTGCGCCAGCACCTGTTGCACCCATATTTTTAACACCATCTTTTACCTGCATGAGAATGAGTGGTACCTGTGTGCATGTGTGCATGAAAGCGTGCATGATTGTGTGGGGTCTCTGACCACAAGGAAGGTGCCCACCCGCTGTGTCCCACCCATCTTTGCTTATCTCATTCTCCTGTTCTCATACCCGAAAGGTCTGCAGCAGTGCAGCGGTCTGGCAGGCTGAAAGCCTTGACAGCTCAGGGCCCAGGCAAGAACAAGCCCCAACCAGAACTCGTTTAGGGATGGCCTGGAGTGTCTGGGGACTGAGACCTGGCAGCAGAGGGTGCAAGGAGCAGAGTTCCTCCAGGGATAGCTAAGGGACAAGAGACAAGTGGTCTGAAGAAGGGAGGGGCAGGATGTTGGAGACAATAACCCTGTACAGTAAGAGCAACAGGTATGAGAGGAACTGACAGGGAGGGCAGAGCCGAGGCAAGAGTCATGGGAACAGGGCCCAGAGCCTCTAGGGGATACGGAGAACTTGATGCTACTCACATCGTGCCTAGGGAGGAGCCTTCCAAATAACAAAACAGCCTGTAATGGGATAGAAAATGAATTGGTAGCTCTCAGTTCCCATCAGCCAGGTCCCAAACAGGTCCCTGGACCTGCCCTCTCAACCATCCCATGGACCAACCTCTCTGAGGGGTCTTCTTGAGCTGAGAAAGGGGAAAGAGGCTTACCCAGGAAAAGGAAGGGTTGATGATATCTCTACATGTGATTCTCATGACTGGGGCGTCAGGGAGTAAGACAAGCCCACCTGGGCAGGTGTGACGCTGGCTCCCTGTAGGGCAGGAAGCATGGCTCTAAGCTGGGGCTCTGAGAGCTCCTGCAGGAAGCGGAGGCCCAGCTGGGGAAAGAGAGGTGCCCAGACCCGCAGCTCTCGGGGGCTTAAGACAGCTCCTCCGGATGAACGCAATACTCCCAGAAGTTCATATGCCACCTGGAAGAGAGGAGGGCTTGGGACTGGGGAGAAAATACAACTGTATCCAGGACTGCCCTTCCAAACTCACATCTGGATTTACCAGGGCTTGGGCAAGTACTTGAAACCAGGGATGAGACCAGAGTGGACCTGGTTCAAGATCACAAAAGGAGTCATTGGGAAGGACTAGGAAGAGGTGAAAAGAGGCAAGAATGAGTCGGCGCTAAGCAACAGAGATGGCAGGGAGTGGGATTAGGAACCCACATCACTGTGCTTAACCTCGGTTGGTGCAACTGGGCAAGTCACTCATACAGTCCCTGGGGCAATCTGGAGTCTTTCCGATTTGTACCAAGGGGCTCACCCGTCCTTCTGGGCGGAGGGTCCCATTGGCAGCGCACTCCAGCAGGCCTTGCTCTACTGGCCCCATTGGATCACTCAAGGGCACCAGACTCTGCAGCTCTTCAGGACTCAGGAAACAGGCTAGGGACCCAAGCCTGAAGGGGGCATGCAGTTGACCTTCATGTGGTCACTGATACTATACCCAGGGGTGAACTATTTGGTACACAGAGTAGGCACGTAAGCTAAACTAGGAAATGTGAGCACAATATATCAGTTTCCCTCTGAGCCCCTAGATCGCCAGGGCCATGTCCTCCTCTCTCGCCCCTTCCTTCCTAGGGGACTTTCCCTGCTTCTCTACCACTTCCACGCTGGCTATGGTCGATTCCACCACGCACCTGCGTACTTGCTCCTCCCCATCCTCCATGCTCTGGTTTACTAGGCTACGGAGCACATGTCGGGCATGCCCTGGCCCAAGACCTGCCACTGGCCAGCTGTCCTCCAGGGCCTGGATCTGAGATGGGGAAGGAGACATGGGGTAATGGTGAGACAGGGACCCCACTAGGAGAGATACTACTGACTCCCATTCCATCTTGAGGAGGATGGTGTGATGGAATAAAGATGATTCTCCTACCTGATGAGGGCTGAGCTGTAGAAAGTTCTCCAGTGGAAGATAGGGAAGCAAAGGCAGCACTGCCCACAGCAGCTCCTGGGGCCAATCAGGTACTTCTCCAAACAGCTCAGGGGCCAGCAGGCGCTTGGCCAGGGCCTCCTTCTGTTCGGGCTTCATTCCTGAACTGTGATCCCGGATGGCAGCCAGGCTAAGGAGAGTAACAGGTGCTAGCGTTTTTCTTATATCCTCTCCGCTGCAGCCTTGTCACTGTGGACAGGACGGGGAGCTCTGCAGGTGAACTCTGACCTGACTCTGACAGAGGCGGGGGGGTGGTGCTTACACACTGTCATTGGCCAAGAGCGATGGTGGGAAGCGCATCAGGTCAGGGACGGCCAAGAAAGGGATGAGCGGCGACAAGTCGATGAAGAGCTGGGAGGTGAGGCGTGGGTACCGCTGAAGCAGCAAGGCTGTCAGGCGACCCATGGCCTGCTCCTCAGATGGCGGCACCTGGGAAAACACAGAAACGGATGCTGCCTCTGCGGGCATCCGCTATCTTCGCCACCTCCTCTTTAGGGTTCCCCTTGTCACTGAAGCAATCCCCCAGAACACTAGGGTCTGGGGGCCTTTGATCTCTTTATTCCTTTTCTCCCTGCTCCCCTTCCCTCTGCCCACCTTCAGCTGAGCCCAGGAACGACGCATGAGTGTCAGGAAGCCCTGGGCAGCCTCCATCTCCGCTGAGAGCACCAGGTGCTGAAGATCTTCTGGAGGCATGCGCAGGTAGGCCTGGGAACAGGAGGCTAGGGTGGGTCTGACCTCAGTGAGCAGACGTCTCAAGCCACAGCTGTCCCTCAGCCACCCAGGCGTCCCTCCACCTACCTGCACTAGAATTTTCAGGACCCAAACACTCTTCTCCCTCTGGAGTAGATCCCACAGTACAGGCTAGTGAGAAGGAAATGCAGGAAGAGCACTGTCTTTTTGCTCCTCCTCAAGCTTCCCCAGGGACTTTAGCTCAAGTTGTGGGGATGCTTGTACGCCCTTCCTCTGAAGTTCGTATGCACCTCTCTTCAGACGGTAGGCCCCATTCAGTCTGGGGCCATGTCCTATCTTCTCTCGTACGGTCTCCTACGCCAGGCTTATAGTTGGCTCCACAAATACATGTAAGCCTGAACCAGACTACAATCACTGTAAATAATTCCATTTTGTTCAGTCTAAGGCTTGAAAAAGTGGCCCTGACATGAACTAACAAAATTTCACAAAGTGCCTTTACATAACAGATAATCAACAAACTAATGATGAAATTTAACACACTGATAGCTCCTTTCGTCATATGGAAAGAAGCGGCAACAGGAAAACATCGCTTGCCTGAGGTCACAGTAATTTATGTGGCAGATGAACCTGACCTGTTTTCTAACTTGTGGTCCCTTAAGTCTTTCTTTTTCACTCTTACGTTCCAGCCCATGGCTCTCACTTGTTAGGGAGAGGATTAAAACCCTGTACTTCCTGTAGCAGGCCACGGGAGAATCACGAGTGTGACAGAATAATGGAGTTTATCGCATGTTTCTGAATCATGCACTAGGCTAAGCCCGCAGCATGTTGCATTCCACGGAGCCTTCACAACTACCCTAAAAGTTAATATCTTTTTCACTCAGATTATAGATGAGAAGACAGAATGACCAGCCGAGGTTAGCGGCCCAAGCCAGCCGGGCTCTACAGCAGTGTGCTCTCATCACTGGAGTACGACACTACTCCTTCCTTCTCTATTCGAGAAACTTCCTGAGGCCCCTTCCCTTGCTCCAGGACATTTATACTCACGCTGAAGCAGGAGAGGAGCTCCACCTTGCTCAGACCAGAGCCAAGGCCGACAGTGGGCTCTAAGCCTGGTGGGGTGGGTTCTTCTTGCTGCAGGTACTCCCCGACTGTCCTCAGCACACTTCTCCGGCCCTCTGGGCGGAAGGCATCCCAGAAGGAACAGTTGTCTGGGAGACTAGAGAGCAGCAGAGCTTGACCCAACATCCCCTGAGTCTCAGCACCCCCAGCCCCTGGTCCCAAAAGGAAGGTCAGTAGGCGCAAGAGATAATGCAGGCGTGTGGGGTGGGTGAGGGCTGGCACAGAGGCCTGGCAGCGTGGCAACTGGGATAACATGCCAAGCAGAAAGGGACCAGGAGCCAGACAGAGTGGGGATGGCCCCAGAGGTGGCAGGGAAGGCAGCAAGGGGCCCAGCATGCCTTCTAGAAAGCAAGTGTCATTGCCTCCACGACTTATTCTGCACTGGCCTGCTAGCCAAGCCCAGAAGGGAACCAAGGCCTCATACATGGTGTCATTGGCACAGACCATGAGCAGGAAGCTGCCTCCATCCGGGCAGCGTTCTCCACAGGGTCCGACGTGGCAAGGTGGGAAGTCAGTAGGATCCAAAGTGGGACCTTGACATACATGCTGCACCCATGCCTGGTTCCGGGGGGGCACAGCCTGCAGACTCTCCTCCACACACAACCGTTCAGCCCACAGTGTCTCATTCTCCAGGAAGCAACCCCAGAAGATGTCCGGGGTAAGGGGCACAGGGACCAAGCCTTCTGGGCAGCTGGTGGGGGGTGGGAGCAGACCAGCACAGAGTTGCTTTACCAAGCGACGGTTGGGGCCAGACAGGGAAGAAAACGAGAGGTTACCGCAGATCATATCCAGAAATTGATCAGGAAACTGATCATGGCAGGCCTGGAGCCAACCTTGGGCACGTGGTGCCCATGAGACTGCATACCATATAGCTGTCTGGCAGATGACAGCCGTGCTAGGACGGGGCTGCGGGGTGGCAGAAGGGGGCGGTGGGGTGACAGGAGGGGGCGGTGAAGTGGCAGGAGGGCGCGGTGGGGTAGCAGGAGGGGGTGGTGAGGTGGCAGGAGGGGGCGGTGAGGTGGCAGGAGGGGGCGGTGAGGTGGCAGGAGGGGGCGGTGGGGTGGGAGGCTTGATGTGCTGGCAGAGCAAGTAGATAGAGAAGTTGGAAATGCTGTAGGGTGGCTCTGGGCCCGAGTGGTTCTCGCAGAGGGCCTCTATAGAGATGGCTCGCCGCTGCCGGGGGCTGATGTGAGCTGCAGGCTGGGAAGCCCTGGGCAGAGGCACACCTCTGCTCAGGCAGTGCAGAAGGGCAGGGGGTGGTGGTGGTGCTGCAGAGAGAAAGCCCAGCGCTTGGGCATCCCAGGAAAGGTTGTTCCGCATGCCCCTGGGTGCACAGGGAGGAGCAAGCAGGATGGGATCAGGCCACATTTCCTCCAGTTGAAGATTCTGAACCTAGCTCAGAGCTCTCTAGGGGGTGTGGCCAGCATAGGCTTTTCCTGGCTTGAATACTGGGATAGAGGAAAGGACACAAAACTGCCTGGGACAGCCTACCTCTATCCACTTGGTCCTATCCTACTTGCTTTCTTTATCTGGTTTTAGGAAGCTTAAACACAACACTTGTTTGGCCTCATATCAGGAAATCATCCTGACGACTGAGTATGTCCAATTGTGCTCTGGCATTGTCACACTGAAATAGAGGTGCCCAGGCGTCTGCGTGCCCCACTCCAGTCCCATCTTTACTAACCTCATCAACTCTCTCTCTCTCTCTCTCTCATTTTGTTTTTAGTTTTCTGAGACAGGGTTCTCTGTGTAACAGCCCTGGCTATCCTGGAACTCGCTCTGTAGACCAGGCTGGCTTCGAACTGAGACCCGCCTGCCTCTGCCTCCGAGTGCCGGGATTAAAGGCGTGCGCCTCCACTGCGGGCTTATTTTATTCCTCACAATAACTCTGCAGTAGTGATTACTTTGTTTCCCAAAGGGGCAAGTGAGGCACAGCAAAAGTGATGTGTCTTCTAAGATCACTTGACAACGAAGAAGGTGAGTTAGAAACCAATCCAGGCATCACACTCCAAAACCACTAATCCACACTCCTCCTGGTAGCTGTCTGACTTCTGGGGGCTAAAGCCTTCAGCATGCCCCCTACAGACTGCTCAGACCCAGCTCCCCAGAAGTGGAGGTCTCCTGTTACTTACCATAAGAGCAGCTGTTGAAGGTTCCCTAGGAGGGAAAGAGCAAGGAAGAAAACGAGCCTAGTCATAGCTTCTTTCCCTGCTACAACCCAGCCCTCACCCTGGCAGCACTTACCTCCCTGACACTGCCCATTGGCATCGGGCTCTGGCTGTCCCATAATAGAAAAGACCTCATCTTGCAAAGAGTGAGTGACGCGGAGCAGCCCCTCCTGGAAGGCAGCATAGAGGGGGGCCCCCACTGTGCGTAGCAGACCACCCCAAAGAGCCTCCTCAGAGCCCAGATCTCCTGTTGGGGTAAGCAAGCCCAACAGACCCTGTAGAAGGTGAGGCGCTGGTTCTCTCCCATCCAGACCCGTGGCATTGGTTGGGTCCACACTGGGCTGCAGTTGCACCAGGGCCTGCCAGCGTGTACCCTCTAACAACAACATCAGAGAAGGCAGCCAATCAGCAGCCAGGACACAGTCGGACGGCCCATCACGGGTGCATGGAGGCCTCGTCGGAGCAGGGGCGCCTCCAGGAACTAAAGCTCCCAATAGTACCTCTACAAGTCCACCCAGGACACCTGACTGGTGCCCCAAAAAGTCCCGTGGAGTCTGTTCCTGTCCCAGGAGCGCCAGCACATCTCCCAGAAGCCCTAGCATGGGCTCCCAGTCTGGGCTACCTCTCAGTGTCACGAGGAAGTCATGGAGTCGAAGTGCAGGGGGCTGGAGAGGTGGGGGCTCTCCCACTGGTCCCTCCCCCATCCTCCCGAGCTCAAAAGAAGAAGAAACGTTGGCCAGGAATGCAGAGAACCGTTCCTGGCTGAGGGAACGCTGAGGAGCTTGGTCCAGACTGGAGAGGAATGACTTCAGAAGGGAGAGAGCAGGATCCAAAGACTGAGGCCCAGCAAGGGCCAAAGTCACTATAAGAAGAGAGATGAGAAGTCACCAAACGAGAAAGCCTAAAGCCCAAAGAAGCCTTTCCCCTCTGCACTGCTGAAGATAAGTGAAATGAGCTGACTAGCCTACAGCAGTGTTCCTCACCCTGTGGGTCATGACCCCGCTGGGATTAGGAGGACACTTTCACAGGGGTGGCCTAAGACCATCACAAACACAGATATTTATAATATGCAGTAGCAAATTTACAGTTATGAAATCACAATGAAAATAATTTTACGGTTGGGGGTCACCACAGCAGGAGGAACCGTGTTAAAGGATCGGTGGGTTAGGAGGGTTGAGAACCGCTGCTCTAAGGGGAGTCTTGGTCTGCTTTCGGAACCTTAGTGCCACCTGCAGCACCAATCTCTGCCCTCTTCCTTGTCTGTTAGCTGTTATCTAACTGGTAACCTCCACACTGTTACTTACAGACTTTTTTGTTTTTGTTTGTGTTTTTCTTTTGTTTTTCGAGACAGAGTTTCTCTGTAGCTTTGGAGCCTGTCCTGGAACTAGCTCTTGTAGACCAGGCTGGCCTCCAACTCACAGAGATCCGCCTGCCTCTGCCTTCCGCGTACTAGGATAAAAGGCGCGCGCCACCACTACTAGGCTTATTTATAGACTTTTTAAAACAACGATTCTCTATATAATCCAGGCTGGACTCAATTCTCAATCCTTTGCCTCAGAGTGCTGGGCTCACAGGCACAAGCTACCATATTCAGCTAGCCTGCACACTCTTGCCTTATTAAAGGGAACGGTGAGGCCAGTGAGATGGTTCGGTAGGTAAAGGCATCTCTTGCCAAGCTTGGCAATCTGAGTTCAAAACCCAGTAGTTGTTCCTACCTCTACCTGTGTGTCATGGTTCCTCGTGTGTGTGTGCATGCAGAGTTTTAAAAAGAAGGGAAAGCTCATTCTCTCTCTCTCTCTCTCTCTCTCTCTCTCTCTCTCACACACACACACACACAGTTTTTAAAAGATGGGAAAGAGTATTCTCCTTCATGCCCAGCCTACTTCATGTCTCACCTTTGTGTGAGAGCAGCAGAGGCAGCAGCAGCAGTGCAGGCAGCAGGGGCCAGCAGCTCGGAGCCATGTTTACAGGCACACACTTGTCCTAGAGGTGAGTGCTGGTTATTCTCACCTTGAAGGAATAGCCAGGTGAGGACAGGGCATTATAGGCAGCCTGTGGTTTCTCTGACACGGTAGTATGGCTTCTCAGGAAACAATATCTGTAACCTGACATCAGGTTTGTCACCGGAGCCACTGAATACCTGATCCTTTGGCTGTGGGAGGAGGGTGTACTTCTGTTAGAGGGACCAATGACAGGGGATTGCAGAGCCCTCGAAGTATTAGCCAAGGAGAGAGCTTGAGTTGGGAACCAGAGAGAAGTAGGTATACATGGGAACAGGAGACTAGAAATGCAATCTGGGGATCTGCAGAAAAAAAAAATGTAAAATGCAGAAAAATGCAAATAAAGAGGGTTCAAAAGGGGCCTGAGAGGCAAAGGAGATTTGAAGAATTTGAGAAAGGAACTGGGCAGTCAGCAGAGGAAAGATATTGGTTAAGATAGATCCATTTCAAAGGTGGAACTCTGAAAGAAGAGAGCTATTACTTTAAATTTGCTACCTAGACTCACACAGTATTGGTGCTGAAGAGATGGCTCAGCAATTAAGGGTGTACGCTGCTTTTGCGGAGGAACTGAGCTTCACTCCTAGCACCCATATTAGGTGGCTCACAACTGCTTATAACTGCAGTCCAGGGGAATCTGACGTCTCTGGCCTCTAGGGACAACTACACTCATGTGCCCATACCTACACAGAGACAACACACACATACACTTAAAAATAAATCCTTAGAATCCTGCAATATTAAGAGATAGGCAGGACTTCAGGAACCAAATAGGTAATTAATAGGTAAGGAAAGAGACCCAGAGAGCTGTGACCTGCTGATTAAGCCATTCGAATACTGCAGCTTCTCTTTCTCTCTCAAATTAAACTCCCTACACAAGGAATCCTGTTGACGGATTAGAAAGACTTCATTCGAAATGAACTGATCTGGTCACTTTTCCTTGTATAAAAATCCTATGTTGTGGGGCTGGGGAGATGGCTCAGCAGTTAAGGGCACTAACTATTCTACCAGAGGACTCAAGTTTGATTCCCAGTACCACACAGCAGCTCACACCATCTCTGATTGTAGTTCCAGGGGATCTGACCTCTTCTTCTGGCCTCTGAGAGCACCAGGTATGCACAGGGTGCATTGACATACATGCAGACAAATCACCCATACTTATTAGTATTATTATTATCATCACATCGTCATCATTATCTTATTTTTTTTGAGACAGAGTCTATAAAAAAATTTGTTTTGTTTTTAATTTTCGAGACAGGGTTTCTCTGTGTAACAGTCCTGGCTGCCCTGGAACTCTCTATGTAGATTAGGCTGGCCTAGAACTCAGGGATCTGCCTGCCTCTGCCTCTTGAATGCTTGGATTAAATGGACATGCCACTGTTCTTGGCTATAAACTTGTTTTCAATTTAAAAAACAAAACAAAATCAGGCCAAGGTGCTATGGTGCACACTTTTAATCCCAGCACTGTGTAACAGCCAGGACTGTTACACAGAGAAACAAAAACAAAATTTATTTTTATTTTAGGTGCATTTGTGTTTTGTCTGCATATATATGTCTGTGTGAGGCTGCCAGGTCTTGGATTACAGCCAGTTGCAAGCTGCCGTGCGGGTGCTAGGAATTGAAACCAGGTTCCCTGGAAGAGTAGAGTAGTCAGTGCTCTTAACCACTGAGCCATGTCTCCAGTCCCCACATGCCCTGTATTGTATCCACAGCTGGGCCTGGGTTCTCTGCCTAGAAACTTTGGTGATTGGTAAGTTCCTAATATGTAAACTTTGTGAACACAGTTTATTTTCAGAAGTTGAAGATCAAGTGGCTATGTGTCCTGGCAATAGCGCAGAGGGGACTTGGTTTCCCAGGGGGCAGTGCAGACCCTGGCCAAACATTAGATAATATTTGATAATATTTGACAACAGTAGTTTCTTAGTCACGGGAGCTGAGACACCATTGTCTCTGGGGCAAGGTTAAGGTTGCCATAGCTACGTTTCTGGGTTGTGGCCTAAACCTCAGCAAGGATGAGCTAAGCTAGATTTTTTATTTTTATTTTTCAATTTGTAGACATACTTGGGAAGAAGGAATCTCAATTGAGGAACTGCCTCCATCACATGGTCTGGTGGGCAAATCTGTGGGGCATCTTCTTATTTAATGATTTATATGGGAGGGCCCAGCCCATTGTGGGTGGTGCTACTCCTGGACTGGTGGTCCTGGGTAGTTTCTTTTTTTCTTTTTTTTCTTTTTTTTTTGGTTTTTTCGAGACAGGGTTTCTCTGTGGCTTTGGAGCCTGTCCTGGAACTAGCTCTGTAGACCAGGCTGGTCTCGAACTCACAGAGATCCGCCTGCCTCTGCCTCCCAAGTGCTGGGATTAAAGGCGTGCACCACCATCGCCCGGCGTCTGCGTCTGCTTCAGTTCCTACCACCAGGTTCCTGCATTGAGTACCTGCCCTGACTTCCCCCCTCAGTAAGGACTGTAAGTTGCAAGATGAAATAAACCCTTCTCTCCTTAAGTTGATTTTGGTCAGCAATAGAAAATCAAATTAGGCCACCAGCATAGAACAATAGCACCCTGTCACCTTGCTAACCGTGCTTGCTTAGTGGCCTCTTCACACAGAGAAAATGGAGAGCTTGGTCAAGGAGAAGGCCCTTTAGGTGGCAGGGACTGTTTCTCTGAAACAGAAAGCAGACTGACAAAAAGACTGGTATAATGTCGCAGAGCCCGATGGTCACGAATGTCTTGAACCAGGTCTGCCAGCTGGTGTGAGTTGGTTCTGCTCCAGCAGGACCCTCAAGCTTCACCCTTGAGGGGTTCCCACCGGAAAGTCAATCATCCCAGACTCCTTGGCAGGTTGGAGAAAGACAAACCTTCTCCAGGAACCTGGAGTTGATCTTCTCATAGCTGACAGGCCAGCTTAGTTAGAGAATCACCTCTTGTCTTCTGCTCTGCCTTGTGAGCTCGGGAGCATTGGAGCCAGCCCTGACTTCGACACTGTTTCTAGGCTACTAAGCCTCAGCAGACGCCACGGTGGCATCCATGAGTGAACCCCTGGGGCCATCAGGTCTTTCTGCTGCCTAGTGTAACCTGCCCTTTGGTGTTTTACCAGAGAAGTGGCTCCAACTTTCTTTTATATGTCCCCGTGGGGTTTTTACTTGACTCTAGTTCTAAACAGCAATTTATAGTGAGGTTCCTCCCCAAACTTTCCCCTGTTCTTTCTTTAAAATCCTTTCCCATTCTCTTCCTCAACCCATGGGTTGGCAAGATGGTTTGATGGGTAAAATGTCTGCTGCCAGGACTGATGACCTAAGTTCAATTTCCAGAATCTACATGATGGGAGGAGAGAACTAACTTCCACAAGTGTCCTCTACCTCCATGTGCACGTGCACGCACACACACACATACACACACACATACACACACATACATACACATACACACACACACACACACACACACACACACACACACACACACAGAGCAAAATAAAACAAGGGGTTTGGTTTTGTTTTAAGTCCCACAGTTACTGCACAAGATTGGACCTCCCAACACTCTGTCATGGAAAAGGAAGGATTCCACCCCTCCTGAAGATTTCTATACAGTTGATGTTAATGAGGGAGGAAGACATATTTCCTACTGTGCATAGGGTCCTGTAAACATACCTTGGCCTATGATCTGATAAATGACACTGATGAATCTCAACAACTACAAAACGTAACAACAACCACAAAAGACAGGAAGTAGGGGCCTAGTTAGGAAGAAGAAAGTGTGTGTGTGTATGTGTGTGTGTGTGCAGATCGGTGATGGTAACAGAGGGTATGACTTAAACACATTATGTACATATATGAAAGTGAAATAATGAAGCCCATTATCACACATAATTAATATGGTAATAAAAACAACTTGTATAGAATGATTTATAGACAAGGAAATTGAGACCCAGGGAAATTAAAGGAGCTAGCTCATGTCACTGAGGAGTTGCATATTTCCAAAGCCTGTTAAAGTTGGGAAGTTAAACACATCATTCACCAGTATTTCTCCCTCTACCCAGCAAGGGTTCCTCATCCAGTCTGAAGACCAGAGGATAGTCACAAGATGGTCTTGGTTACCCAAAGTAATTGCTGGGTTCAGCCCACCCTGCACTGCTCCTGGATTTCCTTTGATTCTGTAACCAATTATAATACAGTCTCCCCCTTTTCTGTGTTCAGGATAGCAAACACTAAGATGGTTTAGGTTTAAATCATGGCTGCATATTACTAGCCATGTGTTCTGGGAAGTTCCTAACCTGTGTCTACAATCACTCATAGATGAGTACTCTGCCAGGCATTGCGTGTCTGTAATCCCAGACCTGCAGGCTAAAGCAGGGCCTGAAGCAGTGTCTCGACAGTCACCTCATAGTATTCTAGCATCTCTCTGTGCTAAAGACCCTAATATAAAGTGTAGTAGTATTTCCTTTGTATATCTCTATATACTTTAAATCACGTCTAGATCATCTATAATATCCAAAACAAAGTAAAGGCTATACAAATAGTTCTTATATTGTCTGTTGTGGAATAATTACCCAAAAAAGTCTATGTCTCTTCAGTACAGAAGCAATTAAAAGATTTTGGGAGAGGCTGGAGAGATAACTCAGAGGTTAAGATAACATACTGCTGGGGCTGGTGAGATGGCTCAGAGGTTAAGAGAACTGACTGCTCTTCAGGAGTTCCTGAGTTCAATTCCCAGTAACCACATGGTGGCTCACAGCCATCTGTAATGAGATCCGGTGCCCCCTTCTGGTGTGCAGGTGTACATGGAAGGAATGTTGTATACATAATAAATAAATAAATAAATCTTTTTTTTTTTTTTTTTTTTTTTTGGTTTTTCGAGTCAGGGTTTCTCTGTGGTTTTGGAGCCTGTCCTGGAACTAGCTCTTGTAGACCAGGCTGGTCTCGAACTAAATAAATAAATCTTAAAAAAATACATAAACAGATAAAGTT